TAAGTTGGCTGGGCAAGGGGGTTACAATGTTGCTATGTGTGTACACCGTTGCTCAATTGTCTCAGATTTTTCATTTCCACGCTTTGTTGAATATTTTATTTGGTCCCGAAAGTATGCATTGCTATCTTATATCTTGTGTTAGTTTATCTTGTATTTCATGTTCGTTTATCTTCTATCTTATGTTTATCTTGTATCTTATGTTAAACTCCAATGACCCACATTCCGCCTACCGCCTAGTTTTAAGAGAAAGTCCATTTCACACCGTGCATTTTGAAGAAGTCATGATTTTACCTTGCCTGTAGCTGACTGGGATGAAGTCACGACTCACGGTGCCTGAATCTGGTCATGAAGAAGTCATGACTTACAGTGCCTAAGTGCAGTCGTGACCTACCTCGCCAAATTGTGGTCAGCTAACTTTTGCTTAACCAACGAGTACAGGTTTCCCATGGGGGAATTGGACACAGCTCCGGACAGAGATAAACAGGGTGGACCAATCTCCCGGGTTCTAGTCCAACCTGGAAGGTGGGGGAGTGGGGGTATTCAGATGTGGGGGTGGGGGGTGAGATTAGGCGTGAGTATCAAGATAAAGTTGAGTTGAGTGTGGGTAGGGGGTGGGGTATGAGCGTGGATAAGATACATTTCTTTACCTTCCCTGCTTGTATCGATTGATTAATCCCAGAATCCCCTCTCAGAAAGATTATACTAGCCAGAGCCGACCTGAGACCGCATAGATCGCGGGGGTGGGGATGGGGGGGGGGCAACTGCGTCCAGCCCGGTATGCAAGATATGTGAGTGCTCACTGTATACTCACGGTAAACATACATACACACACACACACACACTGATCATAACGGTCGTGCATGCCTCATCAAAATACATAAACCTCCTAAAGCCACATATGTGCAACATAATGCCTCTTGCCTAGACACCAATAGGCTAACTCGCTTAGGCACCTCTAGGCTAATTTTCCTTGACACATTTAGGCTAAATTCCCTAGACACGTGTAGGCTAACGTGCCTGCAGACCAGTAGGCTAATTGTCTAAGATCTAAAGATTAAATGCCTAGATACCTTTATACTAGCCTTGAGGCTACCTTTAACCACTTGAAGTGCGTATACCTTATGAAACGTAAAACAAAATTCAATGTATAAATTATAAATAAAATACATGGCTACAATGTTCAGGCGAACAGCTCAGTCAAACATGAACTATGTTCCGAGCGTCGATTTTGTTTTGTTGCAAAGTCCCACAATTTACTTTCGCACAAGGTTAATTAATTGATTGCGAAAACACCAAACTCCGTGTGGCCGGACCTGCCTTCATTAAATTACGTCGGTGTGTTTGTCTGAGCACCGTGGGTTGTGTTGTCACGGAGATTTGTGTCCTCGTACCTCCGCCATTAAATCCTCGACTTGACATCACGTTTAGGGGTTCGGTTTTTTTTTAAATGACAGCACACTGGAGAGGGGGGGGGGACTTCCCGAGGGTCATTACGTGTGACACCCGGGCTGTCCTCAACCAATGCAGGCCCGAGTGTGTTTCCGAATGCATGAGCACATTTTGATGACTGTTTGTTTAGTCATACGTCATAATAAAAGTGAACGTGACGCGCGTTGGCCGCGGGCCGCACGGCAAATAGAACGGCCCGCGGTGATCCTTGGGGCTGTTGGATCAATAAATCACACTCCCCTGTCGACTGTGTTCACCCGCCGATGAAAAGCTTATTTATTTCTTACCGTATCTCGCTCACTCATATGAATATTGTGCTTTAATTCCTCTATCGCCGGGGCTAAATTTGAGATGGGCGTCATGATACAGCAGCTGACGTTATAGGGCCGGCATTTGTCGCGGTGTAGTCTGTCACGTGATTCAGCTATGGCAGTCACGTGATACATGTACGGACGTCATGTCATGACTGTTATTGACATCATGTCATAATACAGATATACACGCCCTGCCATGCTACAACCATACACGTTCTGTCTAAGACGTCTGTTTAAGCTTAGCACGTCCACTACACATAACTCTGTAACATGCCGTTTACAAAAATCGATTACAAAACATAATAGTCTCCCCTTACAATTATCTTTCTTACAATAAGTCCCCCCCCCCATCCCCCCACCACCGTTTCCACCCCCACCTTCAAATACCCCCCCCCCCCCCATCCCTCTACCACCATTTTCCCACCCCACCTTCAAATCCCCCCACCCCCTCCACACACACACACACCAAAATTCCAGCATAGAAACCAATTCGTTGCGAACACAAACTGGCCGCCATTTTTGTTGTCGTCACGGGGCTCCGCTCCCTATGGTCGGACAATGGCCGATAGATCAACCTTAATCCTCTCCTGATTGTCAACATTTCTTCTCCGGCCAGATCAAAAGGCCGGCTCAACCGGTTAGCTAGAATTTTTTTGTTTCTTCCTTCCATTTATTTTTTTTGTTAAATTTTAAACCCAATCCTCCTGGATGAAAGGGATCAAAGGCCGTCGTCAGAACCAATCGATACAAAGTGATTTTTGAAACAATACTTTTCTAAGCTGGCCGCTAGTGGACAAGTGGGTGGGACGGTCTGATGCAGACATACAGTTTTATATGTCTACATACAGGGTGGGGCCGACATACAGTTTATATGTCTACATACTGGGTGTGGCAGACATACAGTTTATATGTCTACATACTGGGTGTGGCAGTCTGATGCCGATATACTGTTTATATGTCTACATACTGGGTGTGGCAGACATACAGTTTATATGTCTACATACTGGGTGTGGCAGTCTGATGCCGATATACTGTTTATATGTCTACATACTGGGTGGGGCAGTTTGAACATTGGACAGTTCTGCTGACATAGTAGTTTGGACACGTGTGGACACGCGGTTGTGGGGACAAAATCCGACACATTATTGTGTGGGTTTTGTGTGGTGAGATAATTGTTAATCTATCTGGTAAATGGGGATACATGTTTCTAATTATATTCACGGGATTCACAACAATAATCAAGAACGAAGAAGAAGAACAACAACAACAGAGCCGCCATACAACTTCTAAGTGGCGACATTTTACGCCGCCTTTACCCATCCATCCCATCTCCCATGCTCAGTCCATTCCCCCCTCTCCCCCCCCCCCCCCCACACTACTTCACTGCAACTTTACCACATCCTTCTCCCATCCACATTTCCATCATCCTCTCCAACCATTTCTCTTTCCTCCCACCCTTCTCCCCCTCCCCTCACCCTTCTCCCCCACCCCTTAACCACTCTAATCCCTTCTCCCATCCACAACACCCCCCGCCCCCACCACCCTCACCATCTAAGAGAAAACGTCCCACACACCGCTCACGTTTGGAGTCATTAGTCTCCTACAGCAGACGCTCCAATTTGGCGGGAACCGATGACGACTAATGGCAGAGTAACGGACCATCAGACGTTATTCAAATCATGTTCCACCTCCCCTAAGTGACTTCCTTCACCTCAGCGGAAGTGTGACTCGACAAGATGGCTGCCGCAGTAAGTCAGAACTCGAGTGGGATATGAGGCAAAGAAAAACTGTGATGGAGCTCTAGTTTCACTCAGAGACATACACCATATGGGCTTCATGCAACATTGAGAACCCCTGTTGGTTGTGAAACAAACGCCATCCAGAGAAACCATTGAGAACCCCTGTGGCTTATGTAACAAACGCCATCCAGAGAAACCATTGAGAACCCCTGTGGTTTATGTAACAAACGCCATCCAGAGAAACCATTGAGAACCCCTGTGGTTTATGTAACAAACGCCATCCAGAGAAACCATTGAGAACCCCTGTGGTTTATGTAACAAACGCCATCCAGAGAAACCATTGAGAAGCCCTGTGGTTTATGTAACAAACGCCATCCAGAGAAACCATTGAGAAGCCCTGTGGTTTATGTAACAAACGCCATCCAGAGAAACCATTGAGAAGCCCTTAAGTTTGTAACAAACGTCCTCCGACCAGTACCTAGGATCTCTACTCACATCTATAACAAACACCCTAAACCTATTGTTTTATTACCCTGAAGATTTGCATCGCAATTCAATAGCAAACGCTATTTCGATTAAAAAAAATTAAGTAAAGCCTCTTTTCTATTTTCGTATTGTTTTAAACCAAGATTGCCTACATTACAACATTGCCTGCTGCACTGTTGCCTAAATACGTGGACCGGCAGAAAGTGATAGATTGGGTGTAGCCTCGCTTTCTAATTTACAGACAAAACCGTAATCGCTCTACGATAAAAATGCGAGCTAAAGCTAATATCTGTTGCCGTCTAGAAGATTCTGCCCGTCCGCCTTCTGTTCGTCGGGGGTTGTCACAACATGGCTAGAGAGGGGGTGGTAGAGTGGGGGAGCGAGTTGATGAATCGAAGGGAAAACACACGGGGTCGGGTGTGTGAAAACACGAGTGCTGGGATGAGCTGTCTGCTGAGTTGATTCCATGACACGGAAAACATGCCATGCTGGCAGTACGTGGCTGTTTATTTGATCTTATATCAAACATGCCAGGTTTTGCTTGACGACTTGGTGTTGTTGTTGTTGTGGTTTAAGGGCCGGGGCTCAGTGAGTGGATTCTGTTTTTAGGTTTGAAAAAAAAATTCACAACATTTCAGAAGACCACACGTAAATGTATAATGGCGTATACAGTGTGGGTTATACGGTGTACTAACAGAGGTCTTATACATTGTGGACATGTACACATTATGGTCTTTTATATTGGCCTCTGGGTATAGGCACTACATGCAACAAATGGTCTCCCTACAATATGTGTATGGTCTCTCATTTTTATCCACCTGATGCTATCAAATCTCTAATTACTTTAGCGAGTACTTACTTAGTAAGTTTAAATGGAGTTTCACTATTTTAAACCAGTCATTTGACCAATCATATATGTTGATCTCATTTATTGATCATTTGACCAATCACGTATGTAGATCTCAATTATTAAAACCACGTGACAGTCATGTGACCCCCCTCTCGTCCACAGTTGACGGCGCCCCTCACCTGATAACGGACAAGTTCACCCAGTTCAAGCTGGCCCACAAGCACCAGGACGCCAGGCTGGACTGTCCGTTTGACGGCGCCACCAGGATCGACTGGTTCGCCAACTACGAGAAGTTGTCCAACAGTTCCAGGTAAGTTTGGTCTTAAGGTTAGCCACAGCTCCAGGTAAGCTGGTTCTCAAACTACTTTAAACATGTGAGCAACTAGCCGATCCAACACAATATTCGTCAACATCATCAATAGCAACGGATATCAAATAAGTCGTTAAAAAGAAAAAACAATCATTTACATAAAATCACTCAAGCGTGACAAAACACTGAACTAGTCACGATTGATTTTATTGGGTAGGGTTAGGGGAGGGTTGCACTTTGTTTAGCCAACAAAACTGACATTTCTGTTGGAGATGGCTGAATTGTACATTTCACGTTGCGGTCATTGAACTCGATGGAGCAGCCAACTGGCTGATATTCTCCTATACTGGTCAGATTTTTAAAATCACGCCATGGCATTGCTGAATCTATCGAACACACGATGAAGGTTTGTGAGCATAATTTATCCCAGATTGATTAGCGGTTTATTAACGGCATTAGTGGTACGTCACTCGCAAGATCCCACTAACGATTTTTATATTGATCATTGGCCAATATTTGACCCATAGATCATTGACCAGCTTTTGACCAACTAACCATTGACCAACATTTGACCCACTGACCATTGACTAATATTTGACCAACTGACCATTGACCAACATTTGACCCATTGACTAATATTTGACTTACAGCAAAAGAAAAAAAAGCAATGCGAATAAATTAGTTAAGGTTAGTTTTAATTAACACTAAACATGAGTTGCTTTGAACCCACGACCCCATTAAGCCGGCATGTGTCAACAAAATAAAACCATCATTTCCTCTTCGTCACTACTCACAAACCGCTCACCAATAACTTACCAAGGGACGTAATCCCAACCCATGTTCTACCTAGCCATCCCCATCAATTCATTAGAGATCGAGACATTAATTAGAGATTTCAGACATCCGAACAAAAACACCTGAGCCCACGATAATCATCCGACTAATCCCGTCCACGAGCGAGGTCTTGTAAGATTAAGGTACCGTACCAGTCTCACCCGTCTCTGGGGCGGAGATAATCTCAGGTAATCTGAGGGACAGGTAGTACACAGGCTCCGTATGTTGACCTACATCCGGCGTGGTTGTGATCCCGTGTCTACCTCAGGTAACCATCTGTTCACATATGTCGCCAAACAAACAACCCCCCTCACACACACACACACACACACACACACGCATACACGCTGATGCGAAAATTTGGTTCACAAGACTTTTTGACTATATAGGGTTTTTTTTTTTTTCATTCTGGGCATTCCAACCTTCTTGGTGCGATTTAAACTTTAAACGAATTTTCCCAATTTTTCAACTACTACATCTAGCACCAGATTTCACTTGTGTGGGATAAATGGCACTCCGTCAGGGTGGTTCTGTTTTATTTACTTAATTAAATCTGTATGCGAAAAATTACTAATTTGATCTAAATCTACATCATATTAAGTAGAACTAAAAAAATTAGTTCTCATCAATTTGCGATACCCTTATTTTCCTAATGAATATACCACATTAGGTCAATCGGAATTAAAAACACTAAAGATAATATCGACTCAACTACTTTCCTACCAGTATCGATACTCCAACCATGGCTCTAGCCCTAACCTAATTCCGACCTTAAGAACCGAATTAATTTGAGGCTAGCTGAAGTTTAGATTAATGGTAGTTGTAGTTGACAGTAGTTGTAACAATAGTACACTTTTATTGGCTGAAATGATGCTACCATCTTAACTATCTTTACAAATGTGCATAAATACCACACAAGAACGATACAATAAATAATATTCATCATTTCCTGTTCACGTCGCTTAAATAGAAGTACGCTTCATAATGAAATGTTTTTATTTCCACCTAATGCCATCATGTTCCCCGCGTAAACATTCATTAGCGTTATGATTGGTTAATTTCAGACACGTGGTCTACCCCAATGGATCCTTGTATTTCCCCAAAGTGAGGGCGACCGACGAGGGCACCTACAGATGTGAAGGGCTGAGTGCTAACGCGCAGACGGCTCAAACCTTCACGGCTGAGCTGGCTCTAGCTGGTAAGTCAATGTAGCTGTGTGCTTGGTTAAACATGGCTTGGTTAAACCTGGCTGGTTAAAAAAAAAAACTAGTAAAACAAGGCTAGTTAAATAAGGTTGGTTAAAAAAGTCTTTACGGTTGGTTTAACCTGGCTTTATGGCTGGTTACACCTGGCTTTATAACTGGTTAAATTATGTTAAATAGCTGACTAAATAAGGCTTTGTGGTTGGTTAAACTGGGTTTTCTGGATGGTTAAATACGGTTAAACTAGGCTAATACTTCTGGTTAAACTAGCTACCTCCCTGCCATTTTCAAGAAGCAACTCTAACCAGTTAACATCAACCTGGCTATTTAAACCAAACAGATTTATGGCTTGATTATACCCAAACTGGTCGCTGAAAATAGCCGTCTGCACTGCAGCCGACAAGGGCGGCAACCCGTCTGAACAACGATAGCACAGTTCGCGCCCCTGGCATAAATACACGAATGTTTTTTTAATACATTTCTTCATGGATGTCAAGTTTGTAAATCATTCACATTAGCTGGATTATGTCATGGGAAATATGTAAATATTTGGACGATTAAAAATGATGGCATTTTATATTACTTTAGTTATTTTTAGGGTTCCCTTTCTTCTCTCTTCCTCCCCCCCCCCTTACACCCAGATATATTTTCTTGATCTAATGTATGTTTATAATAAAAAGTTTTGGATGTTTATGGTAAAGTTGGACAATAGATTGACGATGGTTTAACGAATCTGTGTATCCATTTTGTTAGATTGAAGGTATATGCGCATATGCATATATGTTTGGTCGATGCGTGCGACATTTTAGGTTCAAAGCATAAGCATTATATGTGTGCATTATGTTTGGTTTAAGGTATATGTGAATCGCATAATTCTGGTACCTTATGTAAAAGTTTACCCAAACGACAAATAATTAGCATAAACTAGCTCTAATTTTTGCTAACTACCATAAATCTAGATACTGTTTCTTCATTAGTTTTCTTTGAATTAGCATGTTAGAGCAATGTATTACTTTCAGTGTCTGACATTCTAAATGTTTATTAATAGTTTAAGATTACATTGCGGGTGTCATTTTCTCTCCTAATGCTTATTTCTATCAAAATGGCGGGACTTATTACCACATCTAGATGTAGAAGTCTCATCTTACCTCATCAGCTTACCTCATCAAGTTATCTCAGTGTAGGGGCCATCTCTCTCAGTATAGATTTCATGTATCCAGTGGCGTCAGAAAGCGAGGGTGGGCTGCGGTCCACACCGGATGACATCATGGGGGGGGGGGGGGGGGGGTAACATCAAATTGAAAAATTGACTGTCAAAATGTTTTACAAAGATAAATTAATAAAATAATGGGGGGCCATCTACCTCAGCGTATGAGCTACCTCAATATAAGGACATCTACCTCAGTGTAGGCCATCTATATAAGGGCCATCTACCTCAGTGTATGAACCATCTACTCCAGTATAGAGGTTATCTACAGCAGTATATGGGCCATCTCTTTCTGTACAAAGGCCATGTAACTTAATGAAAGGGTCATCTACGTCAGTATAAGGGCCATCTACACCAGTATATGGGCCATCTCTTTCTGTACAAAGGCCATGTAACTTAATGAAAGGGTCATCTACGTCAGTATAAGGGCCATCTACACCAGTATATGGGCCATCTATAACAGTTTAAGTGCCATCTACCTCAGTATATGGGCCATCTATAACAGTTTAAGGGCCATCTACCTCAGTATATGGGCCATCTATAACAGTTTAAGGGCCATCTAACTCAGTATATGGGCCATCTATAACAGTTTAAGGACCATCTAACTCAGTATATGGGCCATCTATAACAGAGAAAGAAACCTTGACCAAGCGAGCAGGTGGCGGCAGCTGGAGTGAATGAATGAGAGGAAATCTTGTACACGCGGACATCGATGGTACCTGGCCGGTGCGTTCTCATTTGTCCGGGTTAGCTCCGGGTCTTGTCCGACATTTGTCCGGATTTGTTTTAGTAGTTTTTCCTTAGGATGTTTTGTTGTTTGTAGGTTGCGACTGACTTAGAGATGTACAGGTTTGTAAGGTGAATGAACAGTTTTGTTTGACGTTTAGTTGTCGGATAGTGAAGACTTTAGACACATCTGTATAGATGTTTATAGCTTAGCATTTTAATATAATATCACCAGTGGCGGATGGAAGTGGGGGCAGTTTGGCCAGCAACCGGGGCCCCTTAATTTTAGGGCCCTTAAAATGTTTCTTATCAACAAAATATATGCACTCCATATCAAAAGGGCTTATTCCGCCCCTGTCTTTAACCCCTTACACCCCAGCTAAAAATATTTTTCCTAGGTTAAGCCTCTAGTTGACGTTGGCTATCTCTCGCCCAGTTCTACCCACGCTCACCATTAAATCAAATCAACGACTTCCTGAATGATAACTCACGGACAAATTCGTGCGAGAGTGTGATATCATAAATTGTATTTTAATTTATTTTTAGCTGAAACATGTTCCACGTGATAGCCGTCACTATCTGGGCCGTGTCGTTTAAATCCTTCACTTCCACGGCCGCTTCGCACTTTAAAAAAAAAAAAAAAAAAAAAACCTCCCCCCCCCCTCACCCTGACTTGCACAAATAGAAGAAGCACCTGAATATATTCGTTAAAACCTTGCTCACTTTTTGATCTTCCTAATTGTGTTCTCCTACACCTGACACAACGTCTGGCTCACACACACACACGAACCTGCAGTCACACGCACGCACGCGCCCGGGCTTTGTCATACACGTGCATTCTGTACCCAGACACCAGTCGTGGGTGAGCAGTACAAAATGCATCGTTTTGGTAAAAGTACAGTACTCTAATGGTCTGTGATGTAAAGGGTTGTTTTGTACCAACTAGGACGTATACATGTTGTTAGCAACACTTCATTTAAACTGCAGTTTCGTCTGTCGTTTGACTGTATGAAATGTTTAAAAAGTTGTAAGTCTTTTTGTAACTATTTACTTTACTACCCTGACAATGGTTACCTCCCTTGACGAAATCCGCGTCTTGAAAAAAAAAAATTCAGTTATCTAAATGATTATGTTGGTTTGATCGAAGTTTTAAATCATGTCATAGTTCTATGTAAACAAAACTGTCCCTAACAACAGTCTAAAAATGTAACAAAAACTGGACCTCTTCCGTTAGTTGGTACCAATCGTATTTCTCTTCTTGAATTACAAACTCATCCTAATTTCTCATAATTATGCTTACCTTAAAAAAATTAACTGCCTTGTGCCTAAACACGGAGTTTTGTCCAACCCCACTTCCCTACCCCCCCCCCCCCCCCCCACACACACACACACCGTTACTTAACCACGTATAACATGTACACTACACCAAACTCCTCAAAACAACCGTCACGAAATTAATACAGTGTTACAAATCTTCAGGTTGATCCAGTAGCATATAGCACTGTGAGTGACTTCGACGCCTCAATGTTACAAATTTTGTACACACACACACACAAACATTACTAGAACACCCCTACAACAAAGCGTCAAACTTTATACACAAAAACAAAACTTCTATAACACCCCTTTCAAACAAAAGTCTAAAACTTTACGCCCAAAAATATATTTCCAACACCCCTTTTTAAAAAAAATATAACTATAGTCTCCTTTTCTTGTTGATATAATAAACAAAGAATTGTTTGTTTACATTAGAATGGTCAGCTCTTTTCCCGTTGAGAAAACTTTTGATCGGGGAAGAAAAAGATAGCTTGTGCGGCTAATGCTGTTAATGCTTTCTGTTACATAGGAAGAACAAGAGAGACAACCTAGAAAGGGCGACCTAGGATTAATGCCCTTGTTTATAATGCAAGCCCAATCTTTGAAGCTTACATCTGCATTAACCAAGCCGGCATCCATCTTTGTGTGTGGGTATGTGTAAATGTGCGTGTGTGGTTGTGAGTGGGTAAGTGTATGTATATATGTGTGTGTGTGGGTGGGTGGTTGTGTAGCTTTTCTTGTTGGAAGTTTTTGTTTTGTTGGTTTTCATTCACATCTTGGTCTGATGGTGACGTGTTGCAGATGAAAATCTTCCCTCTTATCTTCCGAAAAATCTTCCTTTCAAATTTTTTGTTCCTCCTGCCGTTAGTTCCTATGATCTCCTGACGTTGTTACTGCCATTAAAACTTTACCAGACGACACCCAGCGTACAAGATAGGGCTTTATACATTTTTTTTTATATTTTAAACAATGGATCTTTAATCTTTTTTTGTAAGACTGGTTTCGTTTTGATTGTTTCAACTTTTTTAATAAAGCACGAGTTAAAATTCTACAAGTGGGTCATGGTTAAAGAGTTGTGGTTTTAATACCGTTAAAATTATACTTAAATGCCCAAATTAAGGAATCCAAAATATTTAACCGTTGTTTATAGCTGAATGATAATACTCAAGGGGAGTGTTTTGCGTGGAGTAAAAACATGAATTAGTTGCGTCATCGGATTGTACCGGACTCTTTCAGTGCCATGACGCGGCGTGATGAGGATCGCTAGCGTCACATTGGAGACTGCGTCTTTTAAAAATTGCGGTTTTAATTTTTAACACTTCATTTAATTTAATTGATCTTGAACCTAAAAACTAGCCTCCTATCCATCCTCTATTTATAACGCGAACTATCACCAGTATTTACCCCAGATTCAACTGCTTAAAACGGTTTCCATTTTAAAATTAGGATTGTTAATCCCCCCCCCCTCCCGCCCCAACTTCCTCCGCCCTCCTTATAACGGCTTTCCACAAACCGTTTTATAAAGTAAAAGTAGAATTGTTCAATCCCCTCCCCAAAGTAAGGTTTCTCCCTCCCCCACAACAACCAAATTCTTACCCCTCCCCCCTCCCCCCTGTACCCACATCTTATGTAAGAAGAGAAGCAGCCATCAGCTCGCCCCCCTCTCTAAACCAAACGATATTCTGTCTTACGGCAAGTTTTTGGCGGGAACCTGTGGCAGACGCGCTAGCTGCCCGGCTCTCAGAG